ACACACACACACACACACACACACACACACACACACACACACACACAGTGTTCTGTCCTTGGTAATCTGTCCCTTTGTTTCTCAGTTCTCTGGCCTAGCACTGGCTGTTCAAAGCTTTGCAGCACTGCTTTCCCTAGCACCAACAGATCAGAGCTTTGCAGCACTGTGCAAACTTTTGCAAGGGTTGCAGCCCTTGGCAAGCTTTTGGGCCTGAAGAGTTATGGCCAAGCTGGCTGCTATGACTTGATAAAACCTCTGCAACCTGGAACTGGGGTCTCCATGGAAGGAGAGTGGACCAGGGTTTAAGAGTGGATTTTTTTTTTGTAAGCCTGTGTTGTGTATTTGGGTCTACTAGTGCAGCCTCAATTCTGGTAGCATAAGAGGTGGGGGAGGAGTCCTGAGTGAGCTCAGGGTCAAAAAGCATCCATTCATGATGTTTTTTAGCCTTCTTTTAGATTCTAGGTAACTTAGACCATGGAGTCAACTGAAATTGCTTTATCTTTGGTACATAATTTCTGTTTTGGAGAGGTTTGAGAGATAATAGGGATCAGAGAAAATGTCTAGTCCTCCATCTTGTTGCTTACATGACCCAGAAGTCTCCAAAACTTACTTTTCAAGTTTGTTTCATAAAAGAAGCATGTCCACCCTGGCAGATTTCCTTGTATTGGGAAGCTAGATTCCAAATAAAAATAAGTAGTAGAGCCAAAAGAACATGGACTAGGAATCAGGTTGTCTTGATTTTACATAGTAATCTTGTATAAGTCACATCATCTCTCTATAATATAGTTTCCTCTTTTGTAATATAAGGGTGTTAGAGTAAATGGTCTGTACCTATGAAATTTGATGGGTATCTATTTTCTAAAAGAACCATAAAATCCCCATGTTATATAAAATGTAATATTCTACTGATGTGTACTATATTCTTTTGTTTTTGGATGGGACCTGTGATTTCATTGATTTAGTAATAATAAGTAACATTTATACAGAGTTTAGTATGTGCCAGACACTATGTATCCTAAATGCTTTACAATTATGTCATTTGATCCTCATAACAACCCTGTGAGGTAGGTGCTATTATTATACCCATTTTACAGATGAGGAAACTGAGGTGAATAAAGGTTAAGTGACAATCCACTATGCCACCTAACTGCATTCATGGAACTCCCATTAAAGAAACTTTTTTCAATGGAGGTTGGCCCCTTCTCTATAATATATAGTCTAATGGAGAGTTACCTGGCACACTGAGCGGTTAAGTAATTTGCTCAGAGTTACACAGCTAGTATATATCAGAAGCAGGAGTTGAACACAGGTCTTTCTGACTTTGAGACTCTTTCTGCACCATTTGTTTTAATAGCTATTAGTCACAAAATAATGTGACCTTTGTTTTGGTAGCACTTAACCAAATAGTGTTTCTTTAACAGCTGCAAACACTATAATATCTAATATAATTTTAAAAAATTATTGTCAATGACACCACTACATTGCTAGTCAGATGTGTGGTCCAAACACTGCTCTATTTTTCCTGCCCTTGGGAAACAAATCTATTTGCCAAGACTTGAGTAAGGGGATGATTTCACATTTATGTAAAGTATCATATTCAGCAAATATAGCTGACAGGGCCAAAAAGACATGAAATGAAGACATAGCATCACTAATATAAAAGTATATGTGGTGAAAATAACATTCAATTTTTTGCATTAATATATTCTCATTCAGAGACATGCATAACTTATAGGTAAGGACAGGCTTTTTAGAAGATTCAATTGAAAGGAAAATATGCATAATGTCCTTCAAACGTAAATCTAATGTAGATTTCCTTGAGAAAAGTGGCATGACTTATCAGGTTAATCAAGAGATTAGAAATTCAAATCTATGAAGTTCTTTTTCTCAGCAGTCCCACC